TGTTTAGCATCCTGCCTCTGGCCCATCAGTGATGAGCTAGAAGGGCTACAGGAACTATTATTATAGGACTGAAATACTGTTTGCATTTCTCAGATATTCTACGTGGCTTCTTTTCTATACACTGTCAACTACACCTGGCATCTGTACATGGACCTAAAGATGAAATACAATCAGAACCTTTTCAGGATGCCCCCCCAGGTGAGTAGGACTGATGAGCAGCAACTGTTGGGTACCAAGGTCTAACTGTGGGGTTTAGGAGGGGTGTGTGTGACAGGATATCTCACCACAAAGGCTTTGAAGGCCCTTTTGCCCCATGGCTGTATGAATTGACTTTATCTTGCCCACTGAGGTCAGCAGCATTACTGCTGGGTCTGCCGGAGCATCTCAACAGAAGATTAGGCTTGCAAGACTAAAGCAGACAAAGGCCAGTGGTAGTGTACGGCTCAAAGCAGAGAAAGCTCAGAACTGGGTATTGGTGAAGCTGGTGTGCAGTTGGAACAGCAGTAATTTGCACCAGCTGAGTAACTGGTTTGTTGCTGTCACTGGTGCATGGCAGGGGGAGCCTGGGCAGCCTGGAACTGAGAACTGACAATTCCTGCCCTTCCCAGGTGTCATACAGCGTTTGAGAGCATCAGTTAAGAATTGTAAGAATTTGAGAGCGTAGGTGTGACAGGAGTGAGCTAGTGATAAAAGGACCAGTTGGCTCTGTGAACAGTGGCCAGTCCTCACTTCACCATCGCTGGCCTTTACAAAAGCCCTTTGGGGAACGGGTGTAACGGCTGGGAACAAAGGAACGAGGACGTGGTACTCAGAAAAATACTCTCTATGTTGCAGGCTAAACAAACACTTCACAAACCGCATGACTAAAATCTCTCCTTGCAGTTGTTTCATTCCTCACCCCTGGCTAAACGCTGAGGCTCCGCCATCGCCCTAACCAGGGTGTTGCTCCTGATGTGTTGCTGCAAGAGGACAGATTCCTTACGCAGCTCTTCACGTTGAAGTCGTCAGCCCCGTTTCCGTGTATAGCCTTTTCCTTCCCCGAGCGTTTGCAAATTTACACAGCGAACTTTGTACCCCAGCTATTCCATCCATCGGTTTGGGAGCAGCAGGCTGGGCAGATCAGTCTGTGTTTCAAGGGCTCTTGTCCCCAGGGTTTGTATCTGCTTGTAGGACTGGTTTCCTTCTTGCTGGACACCCGTTCAAAACCCAACACCTAGCTTAAATTCCCCACCACTACAGCTGTGCCCACGGCGTATTGTCAGAGACCAGGACACTCCAAATCGTCTGCAATTCTTCACCAGAACATGAAGTTCCTGAGGAACAGGGCCGGGTTAAGTGTGTAAGCAGTACAAAAAGCGAGTAAGTTACACCAGAGAGCTCATCAAGTGTCAGCTCCTTGTCCAGTTCCAGGTTCCCTTCCCAAATCCTCTAGTCCTGAAGGAGAACAAGGCCGTGAGAGGGTGGAAGCATCAGTTGTTTCTGGTGCAAATCAGCACAGACTGAACTGGGCGGTGTTGATTCAGTGCAGAGTGAATCAGTGGAAGGAAACAAATATTTGTGCTCGGTCCGGGGATTATTCAGCATTTGAAGAGCCCTCAGCTGCTGAAGTGCTCCCTGGAGCTGGTTCCTGTGAACCGGTGGCTGTACAGAAACCATCGTTTCATTAAACTCTTTGGATTTTGCAGGTTGTAGATTACGCCAGTTGCGTTGGCCGAATAGCGACAATCTCGTCTAGGTAAGATTTAATTCTCTGTGGCAGAACGGTGGGGTTTTGGTAAACTGTAGTGTGCTGATCTCTGCCTCCTACTTATTTTGAAGTGAGTTTTACTAAAAACTGTAAAGCTCATCAGTAAGAGCGGAGCGACCCAACAAACTCCGAGTAAGAGGTTTTGGGTGTAAGGACCAAGTTAGTTATAACTGTATTCATTATGTGTAGTTTTTCAGAAGGTGCTTCCTTCACCAATGTATTGCCTGCATGAACGTGAGTGCAGAAGTTAACAAAGCTGATAAAATACCCTTCCAGAGCAGCGTCAGTAAAAACAATGTTTGAAGTCCTTTAGAGTGACAGGATTAAAACCAAGCAGCGTTTGGTTGGGGCTGGGGGCAGTGCAGTGCAATAACTAACAGCTGTGCCACTGTCATTTCTCCTCTTAGCCTGATCCCTTTCCTTCTCATGGTGCCTGTGTTTTGCCTGGGCAACAGCAGTAATTGCTACCAGAACTTCAGCCAGAAGCATGGGTAAGCTTCCTGCCTCTCTGAAACAGCCCCGGTGCTTATCAATCCTGGCAAGGAGCTCAGGCTCTTCCCTTTCTCCCCGCAGATGTCTCCTGATGCACACAGAAATAGTTGTGCCCACCAATGAGCCACAATCCCTGAGTGGCTCTGTTTGCCGTGCGATGCATTTCTATGGCATTGGGGTCTTCCTCATTTCCTTTCTGATCAGCTTCATAGCCATTCTGGTAAGACACTTCGTCCTTGCACACTAGCTGTTGCACCTAGATGATCAGTGTGGGAAGATTTTTTTTTTTTCCCCCCTTTTCATCTTTATGGTTTTACTTAGATGGTACCTGAGGCCAGGCAATGGCAGGGGAAGAACTGTGTGGTGCTGCTTCCCTTTTGGAAGGAGTGGGAGGGGAGAGAAAATATCACTGTGCCACCATATAAATCCACCTGGAGCCCTGTGTTCTGTCAACCCACCCCAAAAAAAGGATTGAGCAGGTAGAAAGGCTCAAGAGCATGGCAGCAGAGATCACGGGTCAACAAAAGCCCGAATCAATTCAGTCTTCAGTTCAGAAAAGGTCACGTACAAAGCACCTGCTCTGCCCCAGGGAGGATGCTGTTGTGTGAAGCGATTTGATAGATTGGGATGGGATACCCTGTCCTAGACGAACAACCCAGATCAGAGCACGTGCACAAAGTACAAACGACGACGGACTCTTGTTCTTTTTTCAGGTTATACTCGGTCAAGCCCGAGGTTTGTACAAAAGGTTTGTAAACGCCACAGGATTCCTGGGGGATCAGCAGTGGGCCATGATTAAGACCGTAGAGCAACGAGTGATTTTTTACCCCGTCGCATTCTTCTGCTGCTGGGCCCCAGGTGAGCAGCGAGCTGAGTTCCCCTCAGCATTCCCCTAGGACACCGTGCAAGGAAGCTCAGAGGAGAGGGGGTTAAAGCAACGCCCTCTTGTCCATCCCTTTTCACAGCTGTCCTCCTTGGAATACTGAAGCTGACTGTTTCAACAAACAGCAAAATCTACATGGCTCTTCTAATTCTCCAGGTAAACGACTTCCTCTGCACCCTCCTGGGTTTTGCTTTCTCTGTTTGAACAGGCAGGTGAGTGTCTGCCTGCTTCGTGTCTCCGCTGGACAAAGCCACAAAGATCACTGCTCTGTCGGCCTGATTTATGCTTCCGGGTGGCAAAAATCTTTGTTAGTCATTTTATGTTTTTCACAGGCTTGAAAAGGTCTCAGTAACCAAAATTACAGCATCATGGAAATTGTAGAAAATAGGACTAGAAAGGATCCCCAGCAATCAGTGAGGGTTTTTTTTTTTTTCCCTTTCTCTGAAAGTCTCCGAATGCAATTCCTCCACAACACTTGTCCAGCTCCTTGCTGTGCCTGAGGCAGCATTTAGCAAAGATTATTAAAATAACCACACGATTCCTGTATCACACGGGGGTGCGGATAGATAGAATCATGCTGGAAGTGGGAGGCTTGGCGTGACGTGCTGGGTTTGACAGCCCGGCCAGGTGCCGCGAGGTGCTGTGCTGTGCTGGCTGACGAGAGACCCCCTCATCTCCCCCGTGGTCCCCCCCAGGCTCTGACAGCGGCTTCCCAGGGGCTTCTGAACTGCGTCATCTACGGCTGGACCCAGCACATCTTCCTCTCCCTCAAACGCAACGCCTGCCGGGACGTAGACACTCAGACCCCTCTCTTGCGCTCCCAGAAGAAGTTTTACTCCAGCACGCTCCCCGCCAGCCCGCCGGACGCCGAGGGGTCCACATCCACCCTGCTCTGACAAATCCCTGCGTCCACGGAGAACAGTGTCCTAACAAGACCTCATCCCGTTTTAGCAATCTGCCTGCTGCGAATTGTCTTGCCAGCAGCGAAGTCAGCTGTAGTGCTGGAGGAGCCTGAGCAGGTCTGTCAGAGACACGCTTCAGTGAAGGTAGTTATTTATTTTACAGGTTTGTATGGACTGTAAATGGATTCTTTAAACACGGTAAATCTTTAGTACAGACTTTCTCCTTATGGAAATATCTCTAGAAATGCAGCAAATTATATGTAACAGCTCAAGAGGCCTGGTACGGCTCCTTTGAGGGTAGGTGGGCAAAGGATGTTTTATTTCTCTAAGTATTTGTCAAGTAACAGTAAAGCAAAAGTGAATATTTTTCAATCTCTGACTTTTAATTCGCTATAAAAACAAGAACATCTACCATAGTAATAGCCAACTGCAAGGAATGAAAAATTGCAAAAGTAGCATAAAACAATCAGCGCTCGCTTCCATGCCTCGACTTTTTGCACGTTTCCCTTCTGTTCTTCTTGCCAACTCCCACTCAGCTACGATACGGAGAAAAATAAGTTTCTTCATCCCAGTGGAGCATCTCTCGTGAACCAGGTGAGCACGACTTGGCTTGAATCTGTTTGTACTCTTCTAGATGCTCAAGTGAATTATTTACTAAGGTCCCACCCTTCTATAGAAAATAAATCAGATCTTTAGCTGCGTTGAAAACAACTCTCTAACTTCTCCACTCTATTTTCTAACAGCTTCGCTTTTGGGGTTCAACCCGAATTTATTTACAGAGTAGGTAATACACAAAGAGGAAATACTCAAGTTTTGTGTAATTAACTTTCAGACAGTTTACACAGTTACGTTGTGTAAATCACTTTGTGGAAAACCTCCTGGGACTGAGCAGTCCAGCTTCAGGGCCATACCCCCAGGGCCTGTAGTCCTTTCCAGACCTCAGCTGGTGGGTTTCCCACTGCTTTCGTGCTTTTTTTTAAACATCATCTTCTTCTTCCATACTGTGCTCCTCACCTGTGGGAGTCTCACTGCTCTTGGTGGCTAAACTTGTACTGAAAAACGCAGCTATTGCCTTTCTGTATTTGGTTACAGCAATGAGGAGGGCAATCAGAATGAGGGTAATGGGAACTGTGATCCCAATTACTGTCCTGAACACTTTATTTTGGACAAACTCCGTCATGGACATTGTGAGAGATGGTGGAGGGCCACTGTCCACGCTCCCTCCCAGGCCGTGGAACTGGCAGTCCGGAGGAGCCCAGCCAGCTTCACAGTGGCAGTGCTTGAGGTTGTTGCAAACCCCTTTCCCCCCACACAAAACCTTCCCATCGCACTTTTCCCTGACCGCGGCATCTGTGCATGTCTTGTTAATGCAGATCTTTTTTGGCCCACATCTGGTGCCATCAAGCCCTCCTCCGATATCGGGTGTATCCGCGCTGGCATGGTAGGCTGTGCCCCAGCACCAATCCTCAGGCCCTGGCGTCTGAATGATGGTTTCAGACTCGCCCAGAACAGGTTTCCTCTTCACGTTGACACACTGCAGCCTTCCACACAGCGCATCTTGGGGTTTACATGCCACAAAAGCAACTTTGCTCCCATCGCCACCACAGTTGCCAAATCGATCCCCTCTCACGTTCTGCTTTTTGAAGCAACTTTCTGGAGCACCCCGAGCTTCCTTCCCAAAGACTTTTTGGCACAGGTTGTCGTAGGTCGCGCATTTCCCCTGGTAGCAGTAGCCGTCGTTGCTGCATGACGTGCCATCGTGCGCATGCAGATCCTCTGGGCACCACGCAGAAGTCCCGTTGCAATATTCAGGCAAGTCACACTCATCCACCTCTGACCTGCACTTGTGTCCTGCAGCACGGAAGTGGCATTTGTGACAACATCGCCCAACGGAGCAGACAGCCCCCGGCTTCAGCCTGCAGTTCTGGTGACAGCAAGGATTGCCTCGGCAGCCCTGTGAGCCCCCGCAGTCACACTGCTCTCCCTCATCAATCACCTTGTTGCCACAGTATTTAAAATGGAAGAGTCTGTGGGGCTCTGGGATGTTGCTCAAGCAGTCGCCATCCCCTCTGCTGATCAGGTCTCGGTAGCTCTGCCTGCTGCAGTTGCTGAAAGCCTTGGCGCTGTGGAGCGAGTCTCCCGCCATGAGGCACCTGATGGCTTTTCCACATGCACACTCCTTTTTGTCGTGCTCCATCCCCAGGTTGTGACCCAGCTCATGAGCAAAAATTGTTGAAAAGATGATGAAATCTCCCTGTATATGTGATACGAGGCCTGACTGGTAACCAGGGTGGCAGATGCTACCTACATATGCCAGCCCAACGATTAGTCCAAAGTCCACGTAGGTAAATAAATATGCGATGTCATATTCCATCCTCTGAGAAAGATCCCGATTTCCCCAGTCATTAAAATTTTTAAGAACTTCCTCTATGTCCTGGCTGTACCTGATGAAGTTGCTCTGCGTCCAGATCTCCAGCCCGATCAGGCAGATGCGAATTTTCAGAGGATAATAGTATGTTTCAGCTAAATTAATTGTGTCTATAACCAGAAGCATCACGGAGGTCTCATTGCTCCCTTGGAAGGAAAACAGGTAGTTGTCTACCACGACAAATATCTCAACGTACTTGGAGTGCTTCAGTCTCTGAGACGAGTCGTGCTTTCCTAAGGCTGTCTTAGCTCCCATCCCACCCGGTTGGTTTTGGCTCACCTCATCCTTCAGCCCGCACATCGAGGGCTTGTTCTGGGTCTTCTCCCGCCGATAGAGAAGGTGCTGGAAGGTGAGGGACCTTGGCACGGGTTCGATGCCGTAGCTCCGGTTCCCGATTTCCAGCCGGCCCCTCAGACCCGCGCAGGTGCTCAGCGTGGCGAGGGAGCCGGGGCTGCCCTCCACAGAGCCCAGGTAGAAGCAGTCCTGGGGGACGTGGCGCTGCTCCACCACCCTCGTCCCCCTGGGGCTGTATGTGATGACCGGTAGGTTTTTCACCAGAAATCCTCTCTTCTGCGTGAGGCGGATGATGCGGTTCTCCCCCTCCACCCTGAGGACGTAGGACACCTCTTCCCCCGCGGCTTTTCCTGCCCTGGGGGCCAGTTTCCTCGGCCGGACTATCTCGTGGCCAGCATAGCCCGGCAGTGGGCCATGGCCGCCCGCCCTGGGGGGGAGAGATGCCACCAACACTGCCCAGACCCCCAGCCTGAGGAGCAGGGCTGTCCCCCAGCCGCCATGATGTGCCTGGAGCCAACTCATCCCCGACCCCTTCAAAATGGCGGCGAGTTGCCCTGGGGAGGGTCCTGCCAGCCCTCGCACGGACACCCTGACCCTCTGTCCCTTGAGGCGCTCAGGCGGTGGCAGCGCCGGGGCCGTCCCCTCAGGGCTGACACAGGACCTGAGGAAGGCGAGTGCCATCCCCCTGCCCCGAGGGGTGGCCATTCCCCTCAGGGCCCCTTGAGAAGGTTCTGGAAGCGCTGCCGCCCCTCCCAGCCGCCATGTTGTGAGCCGGCTGTGACACAAGGCCGGGGTGGAGCAAGGCCGTGGCACGGGGGCCGTGGGGGCTCCTGTGAGGTGACAGGGATGATGACAGGCACCCATCCCTTGTCCTTCCCTCACCAGGGCTCTGTGGGGTGGCCGTTGGGGCCAGGGCCCTGCGGTTGAGCTCCAGTTGCTGCCCCGCTGCTCAGTGAGATTTAGGCAGCCGTGCGTCCTCACCATCCTCCTCCCCACGGGGGGGGATCCCTGCCCGAAGGTCGCCTGCGGATTGTGAAGTCAAGAATTAACCCCAGAAACACTCCTCACAGCAAATTAACTTCACAAACGTCGATGCCCCTTAGCCACCACCTCCCCTCCTTTGCCAGTCTGCAAACGGGTGGGCTCCAGCCATTTTTTTCTTAATCACACCCCCCCCCCATCAATAAAAATACTCAGAGCATGCACTCCCAATATACGCATATTTAGTTATTTAGAAATTTAG